CCACATGTACGTCGGCGTTCGCGCCGGTGGAGGCATCGGAGATGAAATTGAGGATCCGGCCGGGGATGAATACGAGCTCTACCGAGTCGTGTTTGACATCACTTTCTTCTTCTTTGTCATCGTCATCCTGCTGGCCATCATCCAGGGTGAGTAGGAGAGGCTAACGCGAAAAGCTAACGACCAAGAAGCTAAAGCTAACGACTTCAAGTTGGACACTATGAACTAAAGATATTAAATGTTTGGTCGTCATCAGTTGGTGGATTTTCATGTTTCAGGCTTCAGTGAAATGAAAAAATATTAAACAAAAAAATTATGAAACATCAAATTAAATGCAGTTTTAGTGAATCAGGATTCATGAGTCGGTTTTAAAGAAGGTAAAGGATGGATGGATGATGGATGGATGGATGGATGGATGGATGGATGGATGGATGGATGGATGGATGGATGGATGGATGGATGGATGGATGGATGGTTGGTTACTGGTTGTATGTATTTTGTGGCTGGTTGGATGAATTCCATGGTTGGTTGGCTGTATATCATGGTTGGATGCCAGTCGGATGCTGGTTGGATGTTGGTTAGATGCATTTCATGTTTGGATGGCTGGTCGGATGCTGGTTGGCTGTATTTCACGGTTGGATGCCGGTCGGATGCACGTCCTGCCATCCATCCTCCTGTCTCTGGCTGCAGGTTTGATCATTGACGCCTTCGGTGAGCTGAGAGACCAGCAGGAGCAGGTCAGGGAGGACATGGAGGTGAGCCCCTGACCTTTGACCTGAGCCCTGTCTCTGCTGCCTGCAGGCCCTTTACTTCCTGTTTCCCTTTCAGACCAAATGCTTCATCTGTGGAATAGGAAGCGACTACTTTGACACGACGCCGCACGGCTTTGAGACGCACACCTTAGAGGAGCACAACCTGGCCAACTACATGTGAGCCAAGATCTGAGTTAATCCATAATCTGCTTAATCTGAGGAGGAATCTGTTAGCACGAGTTCTTTACAGAACACTGCAAAAACACTAAATCCTACCAAGTATTCAGCAAATAAATATGAGCCTGTTTTAGTCAATAATTCCTTAATATTGATCAGTGGTTCTAGTTCCACTGGTAGATTATTTCATTTATAACAAGACTCCATCTTATAATTGAAAAAATCAGGTTTTGTGTTTTTGCAGTGAAGAGTGGATGTTTTCCTTGTTTCAGGTTCTTCTTGATGTATCTCATCAACAAGGATGAAACAGAACACACTGGCCAGGTCAGTCATTTCCCTTTGCTGCTGTTTTTATTTCCAAAGCTTTATAATTCTGTTTAATTTTAATATTATTTTCCCAGGAGTCGTATGTGTGGAAAATGTACCAGGAGCGATGCTGGGACTTCTTCCCCGCCGGAGACTGCTTCAGGAAGCAGTATGAGGATCAGCTGGGATAAACCGCTCCGCTTCCCGACAGGAAACAGGAGGAAAAGTCCTGAAGCTCAGAGCTGGAACACATCCGTGTCTTAGTTTTGTCATTTGTCTTGCATTTTTTTCTCGTCTGTTCGAAGCTATGCACACCTATCGACCGCACTTTTCAGCAGCAGGTTGGAGAAAACGACCCGGGAGGCGAAACGAAGTTTCTGCTGCGAACACACGGCCTTTCCTGTCTAAATTAAACAGACTGCCTTGTATATCGCCTGAGCGCGTGGCGGCTAACTTAGCCGCTAGTGCTGTAAACGTTCTAGTGCCTATAGCGACGCCACTGCTTTAGCCGTCAGTCTCAGTAGCTTTTCTTTGAGGTTCAACCTTTTCCACCCAGAAAATCTGAAACGGTCACAAACTCACGGAGTCGAGACGACTGGAGTTCTTCTTCTCTTGTTTTCATAAAGAGGTTTAACTCTTTAAGGGCGTGTTCAGTTCTGATCATGGGAGATTTAAGGTTTTCGGTCATTTTTGTGGAAAATCAAACCCTGTGAGCCTTTTGGGTTGTTTTCACTTATGTGCCTCAGAGGATTTGTTAGCATGAGAGGTCCGCGTTTCGAGCTGCTGTGTGTTTTGTTGAGTTGTTAGCAGTGGTGGGCACTCTTCTGCTAACGTGCTAATAGCAGAGCTAATTTTTTGTTTACTACTTTTGCTAACTTTTAAAACATCTGTCATGTTTATTTTTCTGGGTAAATTCTAATGTGCTAATAGCTAAGCTAATTTTTAGCTTAGTATTTGAGCTAACTTTGAAAATGTTGAGCACACTTAGCTTCTGCTAAAAAATGTTTTCAGGTAAATTCTAATGTTTTGTTTGGTGCTTTTGTTGTCTTTGAAAACACTTAGCACACTTAGCTCCCCCTAAACTTATATTTCTGAAACACTTAGCACAATTTGCTCCCCCTAAATTTATTTTTCCAAGTAAATTGTGATATGCTAATAGTGGAGCTAATCTTTAGCTTGCTGCTTTAGCTAACTTTGAAAACATTTAGCTCACTTATCATCCACCAAATGTATTTTTCTGGTTAAATTCTAATGTGCTAATAGTGGAGCTCACTTTTAGCTTAGCGAGTTGCTAACTTTGAAAGCATAAAGCTCACTTAGCTTCCCCTAAATTATTTTCAGGTAAATTCCTATGTGCTAATTTTCTTTTACTGTTTTTGTGAGCTTTCAGTAGAATAAAGTTTGACAGCTATGTCATTGTTTTTGGTTATAAACTGTCCAAACATGAATTATACAGGAACAAAATAAAATATAAAGTAGAAATCGAGATGGAAACATAAATGGGTCTAAGAGCTTTGTGAAACTACAGATTTTATACGGTCAAAATTAAATTCAGTGCAGATATAATTTAAATTGAAGTTAGCGCTTTAGCATTGCTTTCTGCTAAACATGTTATGCTTTACAGTTAGTGGAGCTAATGTTTGATTAGTGCTTTAGGGTTAGCGCTGCTAACTTTCCGGTTAGCGGTGCCCACCACTGTCTGTCCGTTCTGTTCTTATCATTACGTTTTAATGCAGCCGAACCTCTCAGTGTGGCTTCAGCAGTTTGAGAAACTGTGACAAATCCAGAAATAAACGTTATTCACAGATCAGAATCAACCTGCTGGTTTCCCTTCCTGTTTGGGCATTTTGCTTCTGAGCCAGTAGGTCATTATTTTGTTCCTCGTTCTGACAGGAAAATGACTCAGTGGAGGTGAAGTGACCGATTTTACGTCTATTTGAGTTTCGCTGTCTCGAAACGAAAGATTCTCACAAGCGATCACGAACTGCTTGAACTCGGACTGACTTGACAAAAACATGATATGTGGAATAATAATTATCTGTTTAGACACTCTGCAGTCTTACAATGTGGATCCCGTCTCTCTGCCATAACCGATGGTGAGACGAACACACATCCGAGGGGAACGCCGAGGTAATTTATTCTGTTTTGCGCAGATTAAGCCATTTAGAGAGACTTTATGCACAACGCTGGTGCACTGAAATAAGTGTTGAATGTATCTAATAAGAACTTGATGAAGAGACATATTTTACATACACCATGGATTCTTCTATTTATTTTTCTTTAAGGCTCTGATGTATGGAAATAATTAAGTTTTCAGACATGAACGTGTCTCAAACTGAAGATGGTGGAGAGATTTAGTCTTACAATGAAAATGGCCTCCGGTTTGGAGAATGTTTGCTTTTGTTTCGGCTCGTTAGCTTTTTACCATAGATATTTTTAGAAATTCAGCATATGGATAATTTGTCTCAGTCAAAGTTGTGTGTGATGCGTTGATTTCTGACACATTCACAAATTCTCCATGTCGTATAAATGGCTGGTTGGAGGCGGAGCGTTTCGGTTGGGCTGATGGTTGGCAGGTGAATGGAGGTCACAACTTTCCACTTGACTGAGTGTCTCTGACTAAACTCTGCGTTTCAATATGGAATAAACAGATTATTTTAAGGACAACTGGAGCGTCTCGTCATTTGTTTGAGCTTTTTAGATATTCATCAGCTTAAATGGAAACGAAAACATCAGGGTGGTTTATTTGGGTTTTATCAGCATTTCTGCTAATCCGCTAACATGCTAGTAGCAGAGCAAGGCTTTTTGCTAACTTTGAAAAAGTTAGCCCAATTAGCCTCCCCCATATGTAAATGTCTGAAACGAGGTAACCATTGATGGGGACACTAATGCTAACAGTGGGGCTAATTTTTCATTTAGCACTTTTACTAGCCTGAAAACATTTAGCACACTTAGCGTCCCCCATATCTAAATAACTTAAAATAAGTATAGGCACATTAGCGAAAATCTGCTAACAGCTGAGGTAATTTTTCATTTAGCGCTTATGCTAGCCTGAAAATGTTTAGCACACTTGGCTTCCTTCAAAATAAGTTCCCACTGATGGGAACCTTCTCCTAATTTGCTAGTGGTGCAAGTTTTAATTTAGCGTTTTTGCTAGCCTGAAAATATTTAGCGCACCTAGCTTCCCCGAATTAAATTTTTACATTTAGTCTAAAGCGCTAATTTAATTTTAAAAACTTTCACTTGAATAAAGTCTGTGTTAGGTCGGTATTTATTAAAAGCAATAAACACAGAAACAAAATAAAACAGTAGAGAGCAGGACGTAAACACAACATCTAAGGGATTTATAAAACTAATCAAAATTAAATTGGTGCATGTGAGTTGTTGTCTTTCAAAGCCAGATATAATTTGAATTGAATTTAACATTGGCTTCCCCTAAATGTCGTGTTGTAGCATGTAGCGCTAGCAGAACTAATAGTGAGGGTGCTAGGGTTAGCTTAGCTACCTTTTAGCTAGCTGTGTCCACCAACAGGAAGTTGCTTCTGCTTGAGGTGGAAGACATGTTTAATAAGAAATGTTTCTACATTTATTCACGTCTTTTTAATCTGAAAAGTGTGGTGTGCCTTTGAATTCAGCCAGCCCTGTGTGTAATTTAATCTCTGTTTAAATCCAGCAATTCTGTGACAGTTTTATTAGTGATACTGAACAAAAAGCATCATGAAACCCAACAACCAGACCAGTTTATTTTTTAAAGTTATTTTTTAACCACATTTCAAAAGAAAAGCAAAGTGTGATTTTCACCAGTTATTTTTCAGTAAAATTTTATTTATTTTTGTCAGTTTCAGGTTGTTTCCCACTGCAGACTTTAGCATGTTGATGATTTAAACCATACATTAGTTTTAAACTAAGAGCAGTTATTTTCTAAAATACATGTAATTTTTATCGATTAGAAATATTTTCTTTGATTTAAATGTTTCCGTTTTGACAACGTAGGTTGGAATATTTTAAACCTCCTGAGTTTCTACTGGGCTTTTATCTTTAGTAAATATGAAGGATTTTCTGATAAAAAGATGCAGATTTTCCATTAACTTTCCTGCTTTTGTTCCCTGAAACATTTGTATTTGTACACATACCTTCGCTCTGAGTTTGCAGGCGTTAAGCGGATTAACCTCCCACCTCAATGCAGAACTAAAGAAGAAAAATACCCGCAGTTACCCGGCCGGAGGTAAGGATGGGCAGTTTCTGTTTCCTGAAAATACTCAGAATCACTTTAATGTAATAACAGAGGAGCAAAGAGATCAGATCACAGGAGCTTCGTTTTGAATATGGTAAATAATTAGAGTTTTGGTTTGAGACGTTGAACCGGCTGGTTAAAACACCCCCTGCATGTTTTATTAACTTTTCTCTCCAGTTAAAGTCAACAGGAACTCAGCAGCTCGTTTGTCTGCGTTTCTCCTCCCTCCTTCTTCGCTCATATAAAGTAAAGTTCAGATTTTCCTGCATCGTCTTTCCTGCTCCTGTTTTCCCGCTTTCTGTTCGTCGCCATGACTTTCGTCGCTCCTCCAGGCTACCAGCCCGTCTACAACCCCGTGAGTATCTGCTGCCGGACTTTGACTGGACCAAACAGACGAAACAGTCAAAAAAATGTTTTTTGTTTTTTATTTTGAGCCTCAAAGTTCAGTTTTAATGTAACAAGTAAAGCTGAGGCAGTAGAAGTAATTTAATTACCAAAGAATGACAGAGTGTATAGAAAATATGTAAAAATTAAATTATACGAGAATAAAGTCGTAATTCTCGTATAATTTCAACGTTTTTCTCGTATTTTTAATTTTACTAATAAAATGGATCCGTTAACATTAAAAAGTGTCTTAGCAATTTGAAAATAGTTTTTGTGACCAAAAACAATCAAAATGAGTTTGAGTTGGATTTTTTTACCATTCTTCTTTTCAAAGCTGATGGTTTATCTAAATTAATTATGTTCAAGGCTTTAATCTGCTGATTTTAAACCTGCTTTATTAAATCCTCACAGTGCCACTTATTTAAGGATTTTAGTAAATTAATTTACGAAAATCTTGTTTTTGTTTTTAAAGGTTCCACTTTGAGAAATCGTGAAAGTTAGTTGGATAGTAAAACTTTATCGCTCTCAAACTGCTTTTCAGTTCGTTTTTAACCTCAGCAGTTGCATTCTAGACTTTTTTTACTCATGCTGGTCTTTTTCGTTTTCCTCAATAATCGCCTTTCTGCTCTAAAAGTTGCTGATTATTCTAATCTGAATTATTTTGTGCCTCTGCAGAGCATTCCTTACCTCGGCCCCATTTATGGCGGCGTTCGAGTCGGAGCATCCGTCTACATCCAGGGGTCGGTTCCTGAAAACATCACCAGGTGAGTTTTTAAAACATTTTACTGAATCTGAGGCTTTTTTATCCATTAAAACATTTTTATTTTCTCCAGAAAACTTGTGTGACCTCTCTCTCTTTAACTCACCGCTCGGTTTTTATCTCCTTTTTTTACAGTCATCTTTGACTTTGGGCGTGTATTTAAAGGCTGTTATCGGCTAAAACACACAGAGAAAAATGTTTATTTATTTCACAACATCTTCTGTTCCCGGATCCACCCGATTACATTCTGCAGATTAAAACTGTTTCCTCCTGTAAAAGTGTTTACAATTCCTCTACATCATCCCTTTATGTCACAACGCAGCCCAAAGTTTAAATGTATTTTTTTATTTGATGGACAAAAATAATTTATGGCTACATGTGATTGTTTTTATAGGAAATAAAACAATATGTATGGCGAGGTAGGAAGGCCAATGTAGAAAGAAAATAAAAGGAGTAAATTTCCACAAAAAACTTTTTCTATTAATCTCAGAAATTTTCTAGAAAAAAAACTTGGGAATTTGCTGATGGCAAAAATTGTACATTTGCAACAAAAAAATCAAAAATATTTTAGATTAATCTTATAAAACTTATAGAAAAGCCAAAGAAATGTCTGAGCATGAAAAGTTGAAAATCTGAGATAGAAAAGTTCAGACATTTTGAAATGAATCTCAGAGATTTTCAAGAAAAACCCTGGAAATTCCTGAGCTTGAAAAATCAGAAATTTGTTTAAAGTAAAAAATTGAAATTTTGAGGTTAATCTTAGAAGTTTTCTAGAAACAAATTTGGAAAATTATGAGTTTGAAAAAAATGAAACATTTGCTAAAAAACAACTAAAATTTTTAGTGTAATCTGAAAAATACTCTTAAAAAAAAAACGTGGAAATTTACATTTTTGTCTCATTTTTGAAGCTCAGAATTTTTCCTTTTTTTTCTTTAGAAACATCTCAGATTAATCTCAAAATTCCTGAGTTTTTTGGCAGGAATGTTCTCCCTTTTTGTGGAATTGCTTCATGATTCTGTTTGTTTCTGAGAAACATCTGAAATGCTTCTGAACACGAACACTCGGCTCTTTGTCTTGGTTTGCTCAGAATAAATCGACTTCGGTTGTGATGTGAGAATAAGTCGGAGGTTTGCTGCGGTTAACTCGGTTCTGTCTCTCCCAGGTTTCGGATCAACCTTCTGTGCGGAGAGTCGGACTCCAGCGACGTCGCCCTGCACTTCAACCCTCGATTCGACGGCTGGGACAAAGTGGTTTTCAACAGCCGGAAAGACGGATCCTGGATGTCGGAGGAGAAGATCCGCAAGATGCCTTTCTCCAAGGGCGAGGCCTTCGAGTTGGTCATCATGATCACTTCCAAGGGATTTCAGGTAAACAACAACAAGCATGTGGCTTTAAAGGGAACCTATAAATAACACATTTTGAATATTTTTATACTTCCATTCAGGTCTCTACTGCTTCTAAAAACAGCTTGAAAAACAAACCACCTCATCAGTTTTTGGCAATAATGTTTTTTTTTGTTTGGAAATTAAGTCGTTTCAAAAACCTATGGAACATATATCACAGCAGTCACTCCAGCCAAACCAGCCCGTTACCTAGCAACCCCAGCAGAGTTCCACCCGTTACCTAGCAACCCCAGCAGAGTTCCACCCATTACCTAGCAACCCCAGCAGAGTTCTGCCCGTCTCCTAGCAACCCCAGCTGACCTCCAGCATGTTTGGTTAGCAGGTTTTACTGCTTTATGCACCAGATGCATTTAAAGTGACAGAGAATGGATGTTATTGATGTTCTCACTGATTAATTGATTAATTGATTGATTGATTAATCTTGATCTTCTTTCTGCTCCAGACTAAAGTCAACGGGAAGGACTTCTTCCTGTTCCCTCACCGCCTCCCTGTGGAGCAGATCCGGGCCATCCAGGTCTCTGGAGACGTTTCCATCCAAACCATTAACATCATTGGGGTGAGCCACACCAGTCGGCCATTTTTATGTCAGTAGATAAATGTAGCAGAAGGTTTCCTGAACGTGTGTCTGCCTCAGGCTGCAGGCGGCGGCGGCGCGCTGCCTGGAGGAACCGGAGTGAGTAAAACAGCCTCACTCAGCTAACAGCTTTACTTTCCTCCATTTGGTCTCATGTAATGGATTAAACTATCCATGGCTTCTTCACAGGGAGGATATCCAGGAGGCAACATGGGGGTTTGTATTTGCAATCAATCTATCAATCAATCTATCCATGTAAAATACAAAGCTAACAACAAAACAATATTTTTTTCTGGCTTTATTTGACAGATTAATGTAAGACATATGATTAAATATGTAAAAACAAACATCTAAAATGTCATAACTGTGGCAGAAAGTTTTATTTTTTAAATTAGGCAATTGAAGAAGTTATAATCAACACCAACTGTCGTAATGCTTGACTTCGTGCCCGTGTGCTCAGCTAGCATGACTATGAAATACTCAGGGGTTTAATGGTCTGCTGGATGCAGCGTTGTCATCTGATTTTTTCTTCTGGAAGAAAGTTTGTCAGAAATAAATTGAAAGAGAAAATATTCTCTTCCTTTCAGCAGGGAGGATACCCAGGAGGCAGCATGGGGGTGTGTATTTAAAAAAAAATTGAATAATTTCCTTTCAGAGTGGCTCAAAGTAAATCAAAATAATTTTTTTAATTACTTTTCTGACAAAAACCCAGGGTGGATATCCTGATGGCATGGGCGGAGGAATGGGAGTGAGTATATACACTGTAAAAACACAAAATCTGGCAAACATCTTGGTACACTTCAAATAAGACAAAATAAGAAAACTTACAAGTAACTTTTCAGCAAGATACAGCAGCTTGTTTGAACTAAATTATTCTTTAATATTGATGAAAAAGTTCTAGTTCCACTGGTGGAATGTTCCACTGTGCCGTAACCTAGCAACCCCAGCCAAGCCCGGCCTGTTGCCTAGCAACACAGTTCTAGTTCCACTGGTAGATTAATTCACTTATAACAATGAAAAATGTCTAATGAGTGAAATAATCTGCCAGTGGAACTAGTTATTTTTAATCAATATTAAGTAATTATTCACCAAAAACAAACTCTTGTATCTTTCTGAAAAGTTATTTAGAAGTTAGTTGTGTTTTATTTTTAGTGAACTAAGATATTTGCATTATAAACTAGACCAAAAATACTTGGTAAGATTTTATGTTTTTCCAATATAGAAAGTTCAGCTAAAATTAACATTGTATGGAAAAGTTTATTTCATATTTTCATGTTTTTTAAAGCAGGGAGGATATCCAGGAGGCCACATGGGGGTGTGTAGCTCTTTATTATTATCATAATTTCCTCCATATAAGAATAATTTAAATGACTTTCTCTGGTTGAAAATCCAGGGTGGATATCCTGATGGCCTTGGTGGAGGAACAGGAGTGAGCATGTACATTGCAAAAACTCAAAATCTTAAGTATTTTTGTCTAGTTTCAAGTGCAAACATCTTGGTGCACTTCAAATACGACAAAACTAACAGACAGCTAATGTTTCATCTTGTTTTAAGTCAGTAATTCCTTAATATTGATTTTAAAACAAAGTTCTTGTTCCACTGGTGGAATATTTCACTGCACCATCACCTAGCAACCCCAGCCTGTTACCTAGCAACCCCAGCCAAGCCCAGCCTGTTGCCTAGCAACCCAGTTCTCGTTCCACCAGCAGATTATTTTACTTTTAACATGAGAAAAATGTTTTAAATTTGTCAGTTGATTTTCTACGTCTTCATTACTATTAAGTAATTATCCACCAAAAACTAACGCTTATATCTTTCTGAAAAGTAGAAGTTAGTTTTGTTTTATTTTTAGTGAACTGAGATATTTGCACTATAAACTAGATTAAAAAAATACTTGGTAAGATTTTGTGTTTTTGCAGTGTAGAAGGTTCAGTTCAAATTAAAACTTTTTTTAATATTTTCATCTCTTCTTCAGCAGGGAGGATACCCAGGAGGCCACATGGGGGTGTGTAGCTCTTTATTATTATTATTTATAATAATTTCCTGTAGATCAGAATAATTTAAATAACTTTTTCTGACTGATTTCCAGGCTGGATGTCCTGATGACATGGGAGTGAGTACATGTCTCTAAAGTCAGATCAAAACATTATTAACGGCTCCGTTTGACATTTTTTCCTGTAATAATCACCTGAAACGTGTAAATATTTGCAGGGCAGATACCCAGGAAGCAACATGGGGGTAAAATCACAACATAACCGTTAATTACCATCAAACGACGGTTTGTGTCATAATTATTACATTTCTTCCAAACAGGGAGGTTTTCCAGGATCCCACCTGCCGGTGAGAGAACAGCTCAGTAATATTGGCATCATTATAGTTTCATACACATGTTTTCTGATGTTTTTCTCTAATTTTTATAAACCTGTTCAGGGGATGGCAGGGCAGCCGGTCTACAACCCAGTAAGTGTTTCTAACAAACACTTTTATCTCTCACTCTTTTGTATAAACACGTAATTAATGAATTATAAATAATATTTGTTTCGTTTTTAAAGTTCCTGTTTTCACTTTGAGCAGGTCTCAGTTGTAATGTTTGTTTGCCGCCCCCTGGTGGTTCAGTAACTGACCTGCAGTTTGTTCTTGACGTTTCTAGTTCATGTTTTCAGAATCACAAAGTGATGAAATAATTTACCTGAACTGACCTGGAGGATCTTTTCTCCTGCTGTTTGTAAAGTTACACAGTGGAAAATAAACAATAATTTGGGTTATTTTGTCTGTCATAAGAGAAAAAAAAACAAAGTTTCATTTTCCAGAATCATGTTTTCAACATTTATTTAAAATGTTTAGATTATCAAACGAAACAATTTCTCATTGTTAGCAGCAGCAGTTTCAGTTTAATGATAACATTTATTTAGAATATAATTCCTGCTCCTTTTGCTAACTGTCTTCAACTCAGTGGTGGTTTTTTCTTAACTTACCTTCAAAATAAAAGCCTAATCTGAAAGTTAAGCAGAAAAAACAATACTTCTCTAAATCAGCCGAACAGAAGAAGAACCAGCAGCTTCATCGTTTCTGTCCATCTGGTGACGTCTCACCTGGTTTGCATCTCTGTGATTGGATGAACCAATATAGATTATTGATTTCTTCAGTGGTTTGAAAGGCGACGGGTCTGTTATACAAGAATATCAGCTGGGAAGGAATTAGGATTAGAATTAGGGTTAAGGTTGGAGTTGGGGTTAAGAAATTAATCTGTCTGTGCAACAAGTCTAAATAAATAGTATTGAGATTATTTATTCCATGATTAATAACATTTAATTTCTGTTTTCTAATGTTATTTAAAACCAAACAAATTATATTTGTCATCCTAGAGTAGTGCTCTTGGGGGCCCTCTGGTGGTCTGGGGGCCCTCTGGTGGTCTGGGGGTCCTCTGGTGGTCTGGGGGTCCTCTGGTGGTCT